TATTTTTCAAGCTTAGTGTTATTCTCCATGGCCTCAATCAGTCTGAATGTTAGGACTTATCATGCTGAATTGAACATATATCATTTATGCCAACATGAACAAAAACTGGATGATTGATAATTTATTTTAGTTAGTTTTATCCTTCAAGTCTTCAACTATCTACATAAAGTGATTGGCAACAAGTGTTAAGCTATCAGAAATGTAACTTTACAAATGATCTTTAGTGTTGGTTGAATTTGCCCTGGTATTCTATTGGAAGTGATAAGTCAAAACCTGATTCTTTTTGGACATGTTTGATGTACAGCCAGATGAAGATCAAGATGATCCAGATGAACGGCATGATCCTGACTCTGATATGGAAGTGGATGATCACAAGGCTGTGGACGAGTCAGCGAGGTCTCTCTCTCCCTCCCTCCCTCTCTAGCCCCTTCCCTCTCTGAGTGACTGTACTCATTACGTTTTGGGTTTTATTTTTCATCCTGATGTGTGGCCCTCGTCAATTTTTTGTAGGAGAGTCAAGAGAGAATTTGGTGAAAATGAGACCAAAGTGCAGGTATTTTCATTTTCTTTTGCACTTCTGTTTGCTCGACTAATGTGATTATCTGCTGACATTCTTATTGATCTTATATTGTGCAGGATGGTGGCAGAGTTGCATCTGACCATAGAGGACTGGAACCCATGGCAGAAGACATTGGTTCCTCGAAGCAAGCTCCTGTAAGTGCCTTCTTTTGTATTCACTGATATAATAATACCACATGGACGAACTCAAAGAGTGCATGCTATCAACACTGACTCTGTTCAATTAACCAAATCTTGCCTTTTTCTCTTCATGGTGCTGTGAACAGCAGGTGGATGCCAGTGTGATGGCCGTCGATGAGCCAAGCAATGTTAAGAATGAACCTGAGAGCTCAACTAAATTGCAAGATCAAGCAGCTGCATACCACAAGCCATAACTGCGACATCAGGAGTTGCCGGGTTTCTGCTGGGCAGCAGCTTCCTGCGTGCTTTTGACAGTCCAAAAACCGAAGTGAATCTGCAATACATCCCTGCCATTTCAAATTTGACTTGAGCTATAAAATACCTATCTGTAATATGTTAATGTGATGGGATTCCATGGCGGTAGTGCAGTTTCCATGAATCCACCTGGGATTGCTTAAGGTTGACGAGGTAGACGATAGTCTGACCCATGTATACATGAAGCGTATGAGTTAAGTTGTACAGTCATTAGTTGATGCAAATATGCAGTAAACTTCTGGGTAAAATCTTTGCGTGTGGTTAATGGTTTTGCGTACTGATTCCCAACCTTTTTTTTGTGTGTGTGTCGGGAAAGCACAACCAGAGAGAACGGTAGGTGCCTGCTTTATTACCACAGATTTGCTGAGTCTGGAGAATGGTGATGCAAATCCATGTGCTACCTGTCTGTGAAGAGTGGTGCGTCTGAAAGGTCATATTGAGCGGGCTGTTGGATTTCAGTTTTTATAGAAGTACGTTTTGCTTCGGTGCTTCTCGTCTAAGGTAGATTGCTTTTGCCAACTGGGATTCCATGTTATGTGATGGGATTCCATGGCGGTAGTGAAGTTTCCAGGAGTCCACCTGGGATTGCTTGCGGTTAAGATAGACGATAGTGTGACCCATGTATACATGAAGCCTATGGGTTCAGTTGTACAGTCATTAGTCAGTGCAAATATGCAGTGAACTTCAGGGTAGTAATTCTTTGCGTCCTGACTCGACCTTTTTTGTGAGGAAGCAAGGTAGGCAGTTTCTGTGCCACAAATTTGCCGAGTTTGGAGAATGCTGATGCAAACTGCCTGTTTTGGGAGAGTCTGGTGAGGGTGGGGAGAAAGGTAGGCAGTTGCTCATGTCATTGCAGCCTGTTCGTTTGGCTGTGGCTTGTCGTAAACGATCGTAAATTTTCAGCTGGAACAGTATTTTTCTCTCACACAAACCAGCCAACGGTACTTTTTCACGAACCAGCAACGAAACGAACCAGCCAACCGAACAGGCTGCAAGTCGCTCGTGAGGAGCGACCCGTCACGGGCCCTGGCTTCATGGGGCAACCAGTCTGTTCCGATGTGCCAGTGGAATGGCGTGGCATGCGGACTGAGGGGAAGCCGCGCCGTGGCCGTGTCACTCATGTGGTAGCGTTGGACCTCAGTGGGCTCAACCTTCTCGGCACCATTACCGGCTTACCGCGTTGGGCAACCTCACGCACATGAGGCACCTCAACCTTTCATGGATGGAATCGCTTCCATGGCGTCTTTCCACACCAGAACTCTGCACCTTGGCTACAATTCCATCCAAGGACAGATTCCACTTTGACTCGAGAATTGTAGTAGCCACCTTGTCATCAACATTATTTCACTCACAATAATAACTTGCAAGGGAAGATCCCAACTTCCCAAGTGACTTCAGCTCGCTGTATAATCTCGAGTTACTCAGTCTTGACCAAAATAGGTTTACAGGGAGAATCCCTTCCAGCATTGGATTGGAGTTTTTTTTTAAAAAAAGAATATGATAGGAGAGTTGCCGACTATATTAAAAAGAAAAAAAAACCTAGACTAGGTACTATAACAGAGCAACAGAATTCCAAAAGAGCCTGACAACAAATAACAAGCTACCGACTAAAACGACGGTTGACAGAATCCAGTTGGGTTTTGACCTCAACTCGCACCAACTCACCACAACTCTAAACCGCTGCACGACTAAAATGTAAACCATTATCACTTCACAAGCACACCAAACCACCACCCACCGATTACCACGCTGGACCAACACAACCCGAAATGACAAAGCCAGCAAAACTGACACATCGACAAAGGGCCTTGCCCAATGCGCCTTGCATTACATTAGAAGTTTAGGACAACGTGCAGACTGCAATTCTAGTTCAGGTTTTGAAGTAGCACACCCAGGTCCGTTGGGTTTACGAAGCACGACACACAGAAGTTAACACAGCAACTCTTGCTTGACAGTCGACAGCACACATCGCCATGCAGCTCAGAGCACGGCGAAAATTCGTTTTTTTAAAAAAAGAGCACAGCGGAAATCACACTCCGGTCCTGTTTCCTGCGGATGAAAATCGAAGGCGACAATACATGTGAGATGTGACGCTGGTGAATTTAACAAGAGGCTGCTGCTCGAGGTTTCTGACTCGATCCCTAAGCCTTCTTTTTCCTCCTCTGTAAGTACTGTTCCTTGTGTCAAAAAACCTTCCAGAAACTCTTTTCATTGCTGCTGTATTTCGGCTTGCGTGTCAACTCAACTGTGGGCTCGTAACAGTCGAACAATGTGGGTCAGGTTGATGGAGATTATTGGTAAATTACTTGGAGAACAAATCGAACCTGTATCTTCTGTTAAGGTATCTACAATTCATTTGAACAACCACCAACATTTGAAGGGATAATAAGTGGTCAAATACCAAGGAATGTTAGGCACGGGAACTGAACCAAAAAAAAAGGGGTCATTTTGGGTAGGTTCAGATTAGTTCGAATTTGGGTCAAATCACCCTGAAAGTTCAGAGTGGCCACATTTTGGCTTTTCTAGATAAATATTAGTTTTACTATGTATTTAGATACAACGTATATGTATTTAGATACAACGTATATCTAGGTGCATAATAAAATATCTATATCTAGAAAGCCAAATTGGCTTACAATTTAAAACAGAGGGAATAGTTGATTCGCTGGGAATTTAAACAAGAAAAGCCAAAGCGGCTTACAATTAAAACAGAGGGAATAGTTGATTCGCTAGGAATTTAAACAACGCGGAATGATTGACGCTCATTTGGGTAAAATCCCTGTAATCTTGTTTGGTTGGATGATAGAAGTTCACTTCTTGGAATATAGATTAAAAAGTTCCTTCTAACATTTATGGGGGGCAAATGAAAAACGAAAAAGAAAAGAAAAACCAGCCAGAGGCCAGAGCACCCCCCAGGATCCCAGCTGTTTCCCAAAGACTAGACTTTCCTCAGTCATTCCCTTCTAGCGAAAGGGAAGCGCACTTTGCAAATTGCCAACATGATAATGGAATATTAGAATTAGACTTCTGTCAGGAAGACGGCAAGGAAGCATCCATCTTTTTTTCCACTTGCCATATTGCATGGCAAATTCAAAGTTGCACAGTGAACTTTGTTTTCCACTAATTTTTTTTTGATTTATCACATTCTTCCAAACTAGGTTGTCAGCTGATAGAAGTATAGAACACTAAGAAGATTGCACGTTTCCTGATACAGAATACATAGATTAGCTATGATTAGCCACCAGCTGGCCACTATATATATTCTATCTTTTTTTGAAAGACCTCTATATATATCTTCTCTTCTCCTTGTTTGCTTGTAGTGGATCCTTAACCTAACCAGAATGATGCCCAATCGCCCCCCTTTTTTGACCTGCCATGACAAAGGATAGGAATTAGTATTAATTAAAGCCAAAGTTCCAACACATACGTCAACTCAACCTTCAAACAAAAAAATTAAACAAGACCATTTGAACTAAAAAACAACTTATTCATCTGGTTACCATGCTTTTTTTCTTATCCAATCAACCATGCTATATCATAAAAAAATAAGAGCCCAAGCCGCCAACACATTTAGAACTTGCTACCAGGCCCACTTGCATCTCCTATTCGATAGCGAGCAGTGACACTTGCAGTGGCATGTATGATTACCTCAAATCGTTGCGAATTGTATATTCTGATGGCCTGACTGACAACAAGATATCAAGAAGACTGATTGTGATGAGAGGGCCTTCATCTGATTGATAACAGGCTGATCACAGGTTATTTAAACTGAACCCAGTGGCAACTGCAGCTACCAAATATAGAGGGAGAACTTCAGAAGACTCACGGGTTGCCTTGTGCTAGACAAACACAAGCCAATAGTGACTCTAGCAGCCAAGCTCCACTGGCAGCAATGTTCGGTTGCTTCTCTGCCACCCAGAGCCACAAGCAATACCACTGATTACCTCGCGCTCATGTTGTTCAAATCACTTGTGAAGGGTGACCCAATGGGAGCCCTGGCATCATGGGGCAACCTGTCCATTCCAATGTGCCAGTGGCGCGGTGTGGCCTGTGGCTCAAGGGGACACCGCCGTGGGCATGTGGTCGCATTGGACCTGACCGGGCTCAACCTTCTCGGCACCATCAGCCCTGCCTTGGCCAACATCACGTACTTGAGGCGGCTCAACCTTCCACAAAATCGCTTCTATGGCATCCTGCCACCAGAGCTCGGTAATATCCATGACCTTGAAACTCTAGACCTTAGCTACAACTCCATTGAAGGTCAGATTCCCCCATAACTCTCCAACTGTAGCCGCTTTATAGAAATCTTGCTCGACAGTAACAAACTGCAGGGGGAAATACCAAGTGAATTCAGCTCCTTGCCTAATCTCCAGTTACTCAGTCTTAGAAATAATAGACTTACTGGAAGAATCCCTTCCAGCATCGGAAGACTTGTAAATCTGAAAAGCCTACTCCTAACATTTAATATCACAGGAGAAATCCCCGCAGAGATAGGCAGCCTTGAGAATCTCTCCACGCTAGATCTAGGTTCCAATCAGTTCTCTGGAACCATCCCTCCTTCACTGGGAAACCTCTCACATTTAACTGCTCTTATTTTTTCCAACAGTAACCTTGAACAAAACAACCTGAAGGGGAACATTCCAGCTTGGATAGGAAACCTCTCATCATTAGTGACTCTAATTCTTGAGAAAAATAGTCTGGAAGGGAACATACCAGAATCACTAGGGAACCTTGAGATGCTTACAACTCTTGCTCTGAAACAAAACAATCTTCAAGGCCATGTGCCTCATTCTATTACAAATCTATAGTCACTTAGAAACCTTTATATAGGCTTTAATGAACTAGAAGGTCCTTTACCTCCTTCAATATTCAACCTTTCCTCTATCGAATATCTTGACTTACAAGGCAACCACCTAAATGGGTCTTTTCCACCTGATTTAGGCAACAGTCTACCAAAGCTCCAATGTTTCTTAGCAGATGAAAATCAATTCCATGGCCCAATCCTACCATCCCTCTGCAATGCCTCGATGATACAGTGGATTCAAACAGTGAATAACTTTTTATCAGGAACTATTCCTGATTGTCTAGGAGTCCACCAACAGAACTTATCGGTAGTGGCACTTGCGGAGAATCAGCTCGAGATAAGAAATGGTTTTGGTTGGGGATTCATGTCTAGCCTGACTTAATTGCAGTAAATTGTTTTTATTAGAGATTGGTGCCAACAGGCCTACAGGCGAGCTGCCAGATTCAGTTGGCAATCTTTCAACAAATATGAAGTATTTTATCACGAACTACAACAGCATAACTGGAAGAATACCTGAAGGCATTGGGAATCTGGTCAACCTGCAGTTTGTTGAGATGAACAACAATCTTTTTGAGGGCCCTATTCCAGACTCATTTGGCAGACTCAAAAAGCTGAATCAATTATACCTCTCAGGCAATAAATTTTCAGGATCCATCCCATCAAGTATTGGTAACCTTCAAATGCTAAATGTACTAGCTCTTTTTGACAATAAGCTCAGTGGAGAAATACCCCCAAGTTTAGGCAGTTGCCCTTTACAACAGTTGGATATCTCATACAACAATCTTACTGGATCCATACCTAAAGAACTTTTCTCCTCTACCTTGTCTGGTTCTTTGCATTTAGATCACAATTTTTTTAACTGGGACTCTACCGCCTGAAGTGGGAAATCTCAAGAACCTTGCAATGCTTGATTTTTCTGATAATAGAATTTTTGGAGAGATCCCATCATCCCTTGGCGAGTGCCAAAGCTTGCAGTATCTCAATACATCTGGAAATTACCTTCAAGGAAAAATGCCACCATCGATAGAGCAACTAAGAGGCCTCCAAGTGCTTGACCTTTCACATAATAACTTGTCTGGGAGCATCCCCACTTTCCTTGAGAACATGATTGGACTTGCTGGTTTGAATCTCTCATTCAACAACTTGGAAGGCAATGTTCCAAAAGATGGAATTTTCAGCAATGCATCTGCTGTCTCAGTTGTAGGAAATGATGGTCTATGTAATGGAATCCCTCAACTGAAGTTGCCACCCTGCTCCAACCACTGTACAAAGAAGAAGAAGACAACATGGAAACTTGCCATGACAGTATCCATATGCAGTGTGATTCTATTTATCACAGTAGTAATTGCACTGTTTGCATGCTACTGTGATACAAAAAGGACAAAATCAAACCCAGAAACATCACTTACAAGTGAGCAACACATAAGAGTGTCTTATGCTGAATTGGTCAGTGCAACAAATGGTTTCGCTTCTGAGAATCTAATAGGAGCAGGAAGCTTTGGCTCAGTCTACAAGGGAAGTATGACAAGCAATGGACATCAACAAGAAGTTGCTGTGAAGGTGCTCAACCTGACACAACGTGGAGCCTCTCATAGTTTTGTTGCAGAATGTGAGACTCTGAGGTGCATTCGACATCGAAATCTTGTGAAAATATTGACAGTATGCTCAAGTATTGATTTCCATCGTGATAACTTCAAGGCTCTTGTATACGAGTTCCTACCAAATGGAAATTTAGACCACTGGCTACACCAACGTCCCATTGAAGATGGTGAACGGAATGCACTAGATCTCAGCGTTAGAATTAGAATTGCAATTGATGTAGCATCAGCACTGGAATATCTTCATCAAAGCAAGCCTTTGCCAATCATTCACTGTGATCATAAGCCGAGCAATGTTCTACTAGACAGAAACATGGTTGCTCATGTTGGAGACTTTGGACTTGCAAGGTTTTTACATCAAGATGCAGATAAATCAAGTAATTGGGCATCAATGAGAGGAACAATTGGTTATGTTGCCCAGGTGTGCTTCTATTTGCTATAACTCTTTAGTTTCTTATAACTTATTTCATCATGAAAACTTAGTCTATAACTATAATTTAAGCACACCTTTCATGCATGTTTCTCTTACTTAAATAAAAAAGGTTTTGGTAAATACTCATTTTTCATATAATAGAATGAGAAATAGCAAGATTATGTAAAAACGTACCACTCATCAAAGATGTTATGTTATGGAATAGATTTTTTTCACAGCAATATCTGAATATACATATATACTCGTGCTCCTTTTTCATTATCATCTTCCTTTGTCGATTCCAGAGTATGGCCTGGGTAATGAAGTCTCAATACAAGGTGATGTGTACAGCTACGGCATACTATTGCTGGAGGTGTTCACTGGAAAAAGACCAACTGACAATGAATTTGGAGAAGGCCTTGGCCTTCGCAAATATGTAGAAATAGCATTGCCAGGCAGGGTGACTAGTGTGGTGGACAGACACTTGGTACAAGAGACAGAAGATGGTGAAGGGATTGCAGATATGAAAATTTCCTGCATCATTTCAGTTCTACGCATCGGGGTTCAATGTTCAGAGGAGGCACCGGCAGACCGCATGCAAATCAGTGATGCTCTGAAAGAGTTACAGGGAACCAGAGACAAGCTTCAAAACATTAAACATCTATGCATCGAAGGAGCGTAATTGCACTGACATATTCTGAAGTTTCTCCATTGCGTGCTACCACATGCCTCCTAGCTAATAAAAATAGAAGACAGTGCGAGACTGCATCCAATCCACTAGGTCAGTGGGCCTGGCTATTGGGGAAACAAGGCAACCAAACTCCAAACAGGCAAACAGACCTGAGGTGTTGGAAGCCGGTGTCTCTGCAATCCTTGCTACTCTATCTGCTAGTAGGATGGGGTTTCACAAAAGGATCGATCCTCTTTCACATAAGAGCATACCATATTGTAACTGATCTCTCCCAGTTACTGTAATGTACAGTAATATGTATATTAGCACTAAGAACATGAATCCCCTAAGCTACGGAAATTTTTAGTTCGCCGATGTTGGTAATGTAATAGAAGATGCGCTGGGAAGGGAAAAGCCGTTTACCTCCAGCGCGGTTCAATGCGTGAAGTATAGAAGAATTAGGTGGCGTTTGGATCGTGGGTTATGGGGAGTGGGATAGGGAAATAGGACTAGCTGGAAATCTGTTCCCATGTTTGATTCAGGGAAAGGGAAGTATAGAGGGTATGGGTTAAGGAAATGGGGTGCTTATTTCCCACCAATCCTATCCCACCGTGGGGGGTGGGTTATGGCCTGATAGAAGCTCTGATGAGCGCCGGCGCCGAGTCCTCCGCCACCCCCGCGTCATGGACCTTGTGGTAGCGGCCGCGCAGTCCGCCCCAGCCGCGCGACGCCTTGCCGCGCAGTCCGCCGTAGCCGTGCGTCAGCTTGCCCCGCCGTCTGCAGTATCTGCGCTTCGCTCCTGCCGTGGTCCTCCAAGCGACGACTCCCCCGGCCCCTCTCGTGGGAACCTGCAGATGCTGCTGAGTCGCTTGGTCTGTTGGGCGGTGGAAGAGCTAGCTGAGGAGGGAGAATTGATTTGGATATGTAGTGGGACCCACACGTGTAATAAGCTTTTCTTTCTCACGAGTACAGCTTCCTTCATCTGCAATCTTCTTCGCTAGATGCCCAAATCAATTCTCTAGCTCTGCCACCGCCCAACAGACCAAGTGACTGAGCAGCATCTGTAGGTTCCCACGAGAGGGGCCGGGGGAGTCGTCGCTCGGAGGACCACGGCAGGAGCGATGCGCAGATACTGCAGACGCCGGGGCAAGCTGACGCACGACTACGGCGGACTGCACGGCAAGGCGTCGCGCGGCTGGGGCGGACTGTGTGGCCGCTACCACAAGGTCCATGGCGCGGGGGTGGCGGAGGACTCGGCGCCGGCGCTCATCAGAGCTTCTATCCGGCCATAACCCACCCCCCACGGTGGGATAGGTTTGTGGGAAATAAGCACCCCATTTTCCTAACCCATACCCTCTATACTTCCCTTTCCCTAAATCCAAACATGGGAACAGATTTCCAGCTAGTCATATTTCTCTGTCCCACTCCCCATAACCCACAATCCAAACGCCACCTTAGCGTTAGCCGCCGCGTGTTAAGACAGACAGCATCTAACCAGGCAGCAGGGGTCGTCTGCGGTGGCTGATGCACGGGGAGACCATGCTGGCAGGCTGCGACTGAAGAGTCCTCGAGAGAAAACCAGCGCCGGGAGAAGGGAGGCGGTGGCTCGAGGAGTTCGCCGCGGAACAAGCCGGCTAGAGAGCTCTGGAGGAAGAGTCCCAACAAGATGATGGGGGTTGGGGGGGGACGGATGCGGAAGCAGGCCTAGGCCCCGATTTAGGATTCTTAGGCCAGCGTCTAGTGGGCCGTGATTGGGGGCATTGGGCCTCTTCTCCAAAGGGGAAGGATATGTGTTCACAACATGCTCCATAGCACAAGGGCGATTGGCGGGCCACGTACCAAACGACGAACTCAGATTAAAAAAAACGACGAACTCCATTGTCATATTGGCGCGTTTGGATGCCCCGTTCGGTTCCTATGGGACGCATCTAACCATACACAGACAAAAAGCTCCGCTCGCCTCTACACACGCTGCTTGCTCCTGCACGTGTGCCTCGCTCCCCTAGTAACGCTCGTTCCCACCCACGCTACTCGCTCTCGCCCAGGCCGCGCGCCATGGCCCGCACAGATTCGCCCCGCGCTGATATAGTAGTGGATCGATGGCGCCGAGGTGTAGGCCACGCCACCGTCTTCATCGCCAAGCTCTTCGGCCATGTCGGCCACGTCCTTCCTCACTGCTGTCCCCGAGCCATAGCGCTTAGGTAGGCCTGCCAGCTGACTCCACCGCGGCAGGGCACCTCTATCCGACTGCCGCGGTCGCATCCGTCTCGCCGGGTATCGCCATCTACTGTCGCGGCCGCCTCCACCGCGGCATGTGCCGCCATGGCCGCCTCCATCGCGTCAGTTCGTTGCGCCATCTACGCCATGTTGCGCTAAAAAAACGCGTGTTGCAAACGTATGTTTTAGAGGTATATATATTGAAAGTGTTTCATACGAATGTTGCAAAAGTAGATCGAGATGTTACATATGTGGCAATGATTTGTATAGTATGTTGCAAGCATCTATTCCCACTGTTTCATCTATTTTTCAGATGTATGATGCAAGTGTGTTTATCTTAATGTTGCATATTTTTTACATGTATGTTGCAAAGTGTTTTATTTGGATGTTGTGTATGTTTGCAATGTTTTTCAAGTATTTTTTTCACGCGTTTCTGCAAATGTTTCAAACATATGTTTCAAGTGTTTTATCTATTTTTTTTATGTTGCAAGTATTGCATCTAGATGTTTCAAAAGTAGATCGGGTGTCCCTCCTCGTCTTTTGCTGCCTTACCTTGGTGTCTCCTCCTCGCCTTGTGCTGCCTTGCATCCTTCTCAAGCCGCGGAGGGGTGTGGCGGGGCCGACGAAGGGGGCATGCCGGGGATGGTGACGCGGATGCGAGTGAACGCTCTCCCCTCCCGTCATGCGGGCAGGTAGCGCTTCGATTCACTTTTTCTGTTATACGTGGGGATGCTGAGATGTGATGCTTCCATTGGTGAACCTGAGACTAGGAACTGGGCAACGGTTCTATTGGTTGGGACTTGGAGCTACGTTGGGGCGCTGGTGCCTCTGTTGTCATATTGCAGGCTAGAAGCAGCCAGAATAGGCAGCGGTGGACATGCGTATACATCCTCAACGTGATAGCCTGATAGGCTGTGTAGCTTTGTACTTCACCCTTTTTTTCGAATCAGATTACAGATGAATACGCTCACATAGTCACATTCACATAGGCATCCAATCATAGTTGCAACAATGTAACTTATCTTGAAGTAAAATAATAATATACATAGTAGTTATAAAGAAATAACACTATCGTAAACATATTAATATGAGTCTGATTTTCAACTTAGAATTAAATCATAAAACCTTTCATGTTACTCCATTAGTTCTAATTTACAAGAAGTTTTGGCTTTTCTAGCTAGGCATGGGGTATTTAACTGTATAACAAAAACTATTTATCTAGAAAAATCAAAACATCTTATAATTTGAAATGAAGGGCGTACAACTGATCACTCAATGCTAAATGATCTCAATGAATAACCAACACGTATTCTCCAGTGGCCGCGGTGGCTTTAGGATTCGTGTGAGTCAACTGGGAGCGCGACATCCGTAACCGTTGTCTTCTCCGTCACCATCTCCACCATCGACGATTTGACTCGCGAAAGTCCTCGTACGGCGCCGTGGACTCCACCTCCACTGCCGCCGGGAGCCGTTGTGCGCCACGCGCACGGAGACTAGGCTGGAAGGATCCGTCGTGTGTGTTGGGCCAGGCTCTAGTTGGGCTGTGATCGACCTGTACACAATGAGATATTTTTTTCCGAAGGAAAGAGGAACTTATATTAAATTTTAGCACAGTATATCCCGAAATTACATATAAAAAATATGAAATAAAAAATACATAATATTCTTTGTAGATTCTTCGTTCTTCCCCAATGATTTTCCTCGAACGCCGAATCGAACGACCAACCCAACATTGGACATGCCGCAAGGTCCAACACTTCGAAACTAGTCCAAAACGCATCTAAATCGCTGAAAGAACATCGGCAGTTGCATCATCGGGTATGACATATAATGCAGATTCATCACCTCAAGACCTTGATTTCCTCTCGCGACCATCGACGGTGAGATCGATGACCCAGAGTCACTGTCCTCGTAGGGTGCTCACAGAAGCACCCCTCCCCCTTGCAGAAAAAAGCTACAAATTGGCTGCTCGCTAATGAAATCAACGCTTGCAACGGCGATCTCGTCATTGCAATCAGCGAAGTCATCGTGGGACACATGATCCCAACCAAAAATTATCTAATTTCGCTAGAAGTTTATTTGGACTCAACACTAAGACACTAGAAAACTGCAGAAAAAGAATGAGTCCCCTTCTCTTCTTGTCTCCGGCAGACGCACCTGAGAGAAAGGAGATGGGGCCTAGGCACGGCGGCAGCGGTGGCGGAGCGAGGAGCAGGTAGGTGGCGGCGTTTCTACCCTAGGTGGCAGCGGCAGGCGGCGGCGTAGACAATGGGACATTGGCCTCTTCTTCTTCCCAGAACTCCTTGTACGCAGCATGGGGGCGATTGGCGGGCTGCGTACCAACCACGAAATCCCCTGTCATATTGCATTGTCCTTTGGCGTTCAGGCGAGAAGCAGACAGAATAGGCAGCGGTGGACATACCAATCGATCTTCAACGTGATAGGCTACTGTACTGTCACTTAGCTAGAACACGAACATAGCCTCCACTTATGCATATTTGCAACAATAACTTATTATCTTGAGGTTAGTTTTAATAATAATCTATTATCTATAAGAAATACCACTACCCTGAGCCTATTAATTCTGAACCCGACTTCAACCTCGAATTAAACCATAAAACTTTTCATGTTACAATTGAACACTCAATGCCACTAAAGATAGCCTCCTTTACAACGTAGAAATTCAAATCAGTTTATTTTCAAAAGAAAAAAAAGACACAGGGAACAGAAAAATCTCGTGTTGGTGGCCAGCGCAACGGCCGCCGTCGTGGACGCGGTGGACGCGGTGGCCCATC